ACACTTGCATTATAAAAGATGAATTGGTTGATGCACTTCACTAATGCATACAACACTTGCATTATAAAATCTGAATTGGTTGATGCACTTCTCCAATAAATCCCACCAGCAGCCCTAGCTTTCTTCTCTTCATCCATTCATCCAAATTAGGCCTTAACATGCTTGAATTGCATGAATTATGCTCTCTAAAGCCATCATTATTACCTAAAGCTCAATGAACTGAAAGATAAACACAAAAAGGATTAAAAGCACAAGTTTAACTCAAAAACATAACCAAATCATAAGCTAGAAGGGTACAAAATGATATACAATTATGAACCGATCACTTAACCACGCAGCTGCGAGAGGTTTCCTTCAAGGTCTAAGTTTTGGCAGGAGGGGCCCAACTCTAACTCACCTATTTTTCGCAAATGACTCCATCCTATTTCTCAAAGCTACAAGTCAAAATTGCAGAGTGGTGAGCCAAATTCTTAAGTCTTACTGCAAGGCCTCGGGTCAAGCTGTCAATTTGGAAAAATCAAACCTGTTTTTCAGTCCTAACACTTTGGCGGAAGTGAAGGAAGAGATGAAAGCTGATCTTAACATTAATATCACGGATGACCCTGAAAAATACCTTATCCTTCCAACAATGTACGGGAGATCAAAAAAGGAGGCTTTGGCTTTTGTAAAGGAGAAAATCTTGCATAAGGTGCAAGGATGGAAGCAAAACTTACTCACGCAAGCAGGTCGAGAAGTGTTGATAAAGTCTGTGGCTCAGGCTGTTCCCTCTTATCCCATGTCAGTGTTCACTTTTCCCATCGGCTTCTCCAAGGAGATTGATAGCATTCTTGCCAACTTTTGGTGGGGACATAGCCAGGAAGCAAATAAAATTCATTAGATTAGCTGGAAGGATTTGGGGCTGCCAAAGAAGGAAGGAGGGATGGGTTTTAGAAGCCTAAGAGACTTCAATACTGCCTTATTAGCCAAGCAATGCTGGAGATTGATGATGGAGCCAAATGCTTTTTGGGCTCAATTAATTAAGAGTCGATACTTTCCGAACAATGATTTTCTAGAAGCAAAAAAAAGAGCTAGGTCCTCATGGGCTTGGTAGAGCTTGCTGGCAGGCAGGGACGTCATTCTCAATGGTGCACAGTGGCAAGTTTTGGATGGAAGTCGGATTAAATTGTGGACTGACAAGTGGATTCCTTGCTCCCCTGATCACCTTTTAATGCCAAAACCAGGTGTGGAGGTAAATGAGGAGGAAAAGGTTGAAACAATAATAAACCCTTCAACCTGTGTCTGGAATGTAAATGCTATTGATAGACAAGTCAATGTCAGGTATGCTTGTTTGATTAAAGCTCTGCCTTTAGGTGACGGGACTGAGGCTGACAGAATGGTGTGGCCTTTCAATAGAGATGGAAGATTTACTGTAAAATCTGGGTATAATTTAATCATCAATGCTTCTCTTAGTTCTAACACCAGTAGGCCTTCTGGCTCTTGGACAACAGATAAGATTATGTGGAAGTCAATATGGAATTCGAAGCTGGTGCCAAAATTAAAAAATTTCTTGTGGAGAATTTGCAAGGGTTGTTTATCGACTTGTCAGGCTCTGCATAGGAGACACCTTGGTCCCTCGCCTCTTTGTCCTTTATGTGGAGAGTTTCCTGAATCTGAAGAGCACCTCCTTCTATTATGCAACTGGGTTCAAGGAGTTTGGTTTGGAGGCCCTTTATGTTAGAAAATAAATAGACAAAGTTTTACAACAATTGGTGAGTGGCTAAAGAGGACCTTGCAGCTCCCTCAAAGCTCTGCTCACGATCGATCTTGGCTCTTGGCTCATGGCTCAAATTGCATACACTTGTTAGAGTATTTGGAAAAGTTAATGCGCTGCTGTCTTTGAGGGTGTTCAGGTGTGCCCGCAGAAGACTTTGCATGTTGCCCAGTCTATGGTCAGCGAATTCATGCAAATGCAAACTGAGTCTGTGATGAATATGAGTGAAAATGCTGTTGAGGTTGGGGCGGCAGAGGCAAGATGGTCTACCCCTCCCCATGCATACTGTAAAGTAAATGTTGATGCTTCTTGGGAGGGAGGTTCGAAGCTAGCAGGTTTGGGTGTGGTGGTTCAGGACTCGAATGCTGTGTGTTTGGACGGTAGTAGTAAAACCAGACTAGCAGCGTCGGCTATTGAGGCGAAGGGGCATGCAACGTTGAATGGAGTACATTTAGCTGCTCAAATGGGGATTTAACATGTGGTTTTTGAATCTGATTCAAAGGAGTTGGTCCAGTCTGTCAAAGGCCATATTCAGAAGAGTAGATGGACTATTTTCCCCATTCTAACGGCAATTCGAAGAGCCTGCAGTGGTTTCGATTCGTATTCTTGGAATTGGGTGCACCGTGGTGCAAACAAAGCAGCAGATGCTGCAGCTTCTCGTGCTAGAAGGAGGATGTGTGATGAGGTTTGGGAATCCAGCCTCCCATCCTCTTTGGTCTTTGTATTGCAAGCTGATGGGCTCCCATGTCCCCCTACGATGTGAGCTCTGGCTATTAGAGGCGGACACACTCCCTGTTGGGAGGTGTCATAGGTTTGGCCTCTAACAAATTTTGCTTTTGTTTTGCTGAAGCTTGTTTTTCATCTCTTTCTGCTGTGGCTGCTTTAGTTTCGCCGTTGCTTGTTTTTCTCCTTTCTTTTCGCAGCCCTTTGCTTGTACTTCTCTTTCGTTTGGAATGAAAGTACTCTTGACCAAAAAAAAAAAAAAAACCAGAGATAGCCCCATATAAAAAGATCTTGATAGAGCCATAGAGTCAGAGTGGGCCCCAGCTGCTGCCAACAGAGTTATTCCATTATTCTTTTTTTTTTTAATCTGACATGTATCAAGATTCCAACAGAGTCTAGACGAGTGGAAAATGGATTTGACTAGCATACCATAAGTTAAAGGTTCAAACCCTTATAACATGTTAATTGTGTATATAAATTTAGACTATCACATGTACTTGGGAAAAAAAAATCAAGATTACACAAGTTGTATGTAACTAGAAGATTTGCGTTGAGATTTAAGAATCATAAAGCGAATTATGAATTAAGTTGTTATAAAACCAATTGTGTGTGCAAGTGATTTTTAACTATTCATGCATCAAAATTTTAGATCTTGCCAATAGTTATAAATGACTTACGTGCATATGTACAACTGCCCCTACTAGAATTCACAACAGAATAATGACTTTCACACCAAACTAACAATTTCATGAATTTTGTTAAAGTTTAATCATCCATGTATTTTTAACCCTTTTTTTAATTTAAAAAATATTTATTTTTAAACGTTTTGTTCATATAAAACTCACCTTTTTTAAATAAAAAAATAGTTAGAAATCGCCAAAGCAATCCATGATAGATTTGCCGACTGCCACAGTAGACTACTGCGAGTGTTCCATATTTTTGTCACAACCACTTCACTCACCGTTAACAAATAAATAATATAAATGGTAACTTTGTAATTTAGCGCGTAAATTATGTCATTTTCTCAGGACAGCTTCAAGGCAACTTGTCATCTTCCTAATCAGTAAGTTTAGAACTCACCGAACTCCGACACATCTCTCCATTACTATAAAGCTCACAGTCTGTCTCAGAGAACCTTAAACTCCCCATCTCTCTCTCTCTCTCTCTTCCACAGCCATCTATATAAACCCACAATGGCACACTGGCCAGGTACAAATAATAAACCCTTAATTTTAATCTATGCATGTAATTCTCATATCTTAAACATTTCTGGCATTTACTGGCCTTTGCAGATGATCAGTCCACTACCCATTTCATAATTAAAGAAAAAGTTTCGATTTTTTTAATTTTCAAATATTGGGTTTTTCTCCTTAAGCCAGATTCATTGTTAATTACTGGGTTTTAGCTATATGTTGTCCCTGATCTTGTGCTATTTTTGAAGTGGGTTTCTTTGTTAGCCTTTTACTTTTCTCACAGCAATTCTGTCTTTACCAATTGCCATTTACTTCTTTTTGGGCCTCATTGATGGCTTGATGATCACCATTACTGCTCTTTATCATTGGTTTCAGTTGTTTGATCCTTTACGAAATCACTGCCCTGTTTTGTCAACAGGAATTGCATCCAAGACTATTTGATAACCAATTTTATAGTGGACCAATATTTGGTGATTAAAAGTTGAGCTTCTTGTTGCTCTTGAATTTTTGTATTTACATATGATTCTTTTAGATTTTCAATTTTGATTGTACTAAAAAGTGATGCTGATTGCTGCTGTATCTGCAAATGTTTGGATTGGATGCTTTGTAGCAGAGGGTCTTGAATTTTGTATAGCGGCTCAGGGGTCTGTGCTTTATTCATCGTAATCTCGATTTCTGATGGCGGAATTTGTTGGGCCGAGGTTGTATAGTCGCTGTAATTGCAGAAACCATGTTGCCCTTCATGATGATGTCATTTCTATATCCTTTCAGGTGAAGAACTTTGCTTTGCTTTGATTAAGCTGTTGTGCTTCTTTTCATTGTCTGTCGTTAAGAAAGAGACTTGCTTTGATATGTTAATGAGAATCTGTTCTTTAAAATGAAATGAATAGACGTTTACTTGTCACTACATTTTGGATGAAATGAGGAATAAGAGTTTAGCCTTCGTTTAAGTTGAAATGAAGACTCAATTCAAACTTGATTAGCCAAGGGAAGGCAAGTAGTTGTTTTCTCTTTGGTTGAGGGTTTTTATGTTCTGCATTGTATTGATTTGGTTGATGTGTATATTAGATAGTCTTGTTCTGGATGTGACTATGATGAGAGGATTGCAAAAACATTACTTGATTCGACTTTTTCTTTTCCCAAATCATAGGGTAGAAATGGTCGAGCCTTTCTGTTTTAACATGCAATGAACATTACAGTCGGGCCGAAAGAAAACAGACAACTCATGACTGGTCTGCACACTGTTGCTGATGTCTCCTGCTGCGACTGCCATGAGGTGCTGGGTTGGAAGTACGAACGAGCCTATGAGGAAACGCAGAAGTACAAGGAAGGGAAATTCATACTTGAGAAATCAAAAATAGTCAAGGAAAACTGGTAGTGTGTGTGGAGACTTTTAGTTCATCTGTCTGCATGTCAAATGTAAGTGTATGGGATGCTCATGCTTCTATTCATCTTGTTCAGAAAATCTCATCAGTTGAAAAAAAAATCAATTATTGTTCCTTGTTGTGCATTTATTTCGTGTTCCTCATGTGAATATTGTATTGGGGATGATTGATCTTGTTAATAAATTGTGACTAAATCTTTCAGTTAAGCTTATGGAATTGAATTTGAAATGTTGCATACAATTTTCTGTTCCACTCGTTGCATATAGAACCTTCTTGTTTCAATGGATGCCAATGGGTTTTGAACTTCAACAGAAGTTGATGATTGAATGTAGAATGAAGGGAAATAAGAACAAGAATTTGCTGATGAAGAATTACGAAGTTGTGCTGGATAGGAGAAATCCGTTGCTAGCTAGATAGGCGTTCCTGGGTGAAAGGAAATGACCATGAACACTATGTATGAACTCAAAATATATAAAGCAGATCCTTCTTCTTCACTTGCTAAGTGTCAAAGTTCCACTATATATCAAGAACTCGAGGTTAAAAATGTACCCTTTATGTGCAATTTGTCCACTAGAGACGACTCAGACGAGGAACAAATGCTTGGCAAACTAAAAGTTTCTATTTTTAGGATATAGCAGAGTTCATTGCTAAGTTACTTCATGAACCATACAATCAGGACTGAATGCAGGTTCAGTTACTGCAACATCAATTTGATTTTGTACCAAAACACTTGCTTTGATTTGCTTGCCGGCTGCCTCCATATTCGTTGTTGAATCCAATGTTTCCTTTGCATTCCTTGTTCCCCGCACCATTTAGAACATCAAATGCAACCACTTCACATGAACCAACACCGCTCCCTTCAACTAACTTGACTCCTTCCTCTATTTTCCCTTCAATTAGCTTGATCAAAGCCTCTGTATTACTTAAGGAAGTTAAGCTCTCTCTCACATCCCTTGCAAATTGCACTCTTAATATACTTAAGAGTAATTGAAGAGATTCATCTAATCTAAGAAGTTGATTGGTATATTCATACTTCTTGCAGCTAGCCCACTTACAAATCTTAGAGCACTTGTGAACGAGCTCTGCACCCTCCTCCATTTGTAATGTAAAATTCTCTAATTCCTCCTTTGAGAGATGCAATACCTTGTTATATTCTGCTATCTCTTCTACAAGTGGTTTTAGAGAATCTATCGTGGATTTAAGATTCCCAAGGATGCGCTTAAACATCCTAGTCTTGTCCTTCACTTGTATAACAGCACCAAGGAGCACCCCAAACGATGTTCCCAGAGTATCCCTTCACTTTGGCCATGCCCCATCGTCTCTGTATTATTGCTTCCTGATTATGATTGAAACGAAAATATAAAGTTTTCTGATTCTTGTATTGTTGGTAGTGTTGTTGTAAACTTGTAATCATGGCACTTGAGATTGTTGGAGGGGCTGCTCTAGGAACAATATTTGCAGCCTTGTATGATGTTGTTAAGATAGCCATGGGAAAGACTATCATGCGGTTCAAACCCCTCCTCCGAGATCTC